GGTCACAGCAAGGCTGTATCCTGGAGAGAAAAGGGTCCTGGCACAGACTTCCTTCTGAATTTTGCTGCTTCCAAAGCTTTCCCTTAACTGGTGTCACAACTTTACTGGCACCAGGATAAAAATGCTCTGACGGTGAAGGGTCATGTTGGAGCATAAACAAGTCAGGAGTCCCTGAAGGGCTGAGGAACTCACTCTGGTCTTATGACCAGAAAAAAAAGGCCTTATAAAACAGACGCTCTGTTGTTTATGCTCTGTCCTTCTTAAAAGCATTTCTAAATTTTTCTTTTCATGTGTATAAGATAGTTGATCCTAAGGTATTATCCAAAATAAGATCCACAATCCACAAATTAATCTATCTAAGAATGAAACCTTCACCTGCATCTACTGTTTTATGGCTTCACATGACTACAATCGTTTTATTATTTTGTGTATGGAGCCTGGGTCAAAGGTCTTTGTGCAAATGTTCTATAAAACCTGCTGCAAAAACATAAAATATACATCACAATAAATGAGATATCTCCATCTATTCAAAAATCCTGTCACATTCTGAACTTAATTCATAACAAAAACATTTATTTGCCTTTTTTTATGTTCAGCTGCCTGGACTAGTTCTTAGCAGTGACCATCTGATTGCAAACTCTGAAAAACATGCTGTAAACAAGAGCTGCTAGGTCAGGCTAACAGGATTTTCTGCTATGGATGTTTATGCATAAGAATGACTCAAACATCCAGTGTGAAAAATAAAGTCAGAGGAGAAACAAAGCAGCCAGAAGCCATCAAAAATCCATTAAGATAAAAACATTAGTGACAGATTAGAGGAATATCATAAAGGAGGCAGTGAAGCTGAAATGTCGCTGTTTTTGTCTTGAGTTCAGTACTTATAATACGTAAATCAATTTTTTGTATTTTACATTGTTATTTTTATGCTACCATGTCGATGTTTTTATTTTTATGTTAGAGTCCAGCTCTTTATAAAATCTGGGGCTTGTGAAGCACTTTTGGTGTCATTCTGGGTACAACAGAGAGCAATACTAACAGCACACAAACAAGGCTAATAGGCTAAGGCTAAACGCAGTATAAATATGAAATCTGTAAACCTTTCAGTATTTAGTCAAAGCCCTACAGCCACTAATACTAATATTTTCTAAAAATGGGTTTCTTCAGCAGACCATTGTGATTAAATACATTAAAAGCTAATTTTAATCACAACTCAATTGTTATCAAATCGATTAATACTCATAGATCGAGGACATTAAATTTGGAAGAAATAAAACTATCAATCTTAACCATATGCTTAATGTTTTCTATGTTTGATCCGATTAAGTTTACCATCCGCATTAACTCCCAGTTTAGATCTCTGGCATAATAAAAACCAACAAAAGTAAAATTTAAAAATATGTGGCAATAACCTGTTCAATATTAATTGCTGAATTATATGAAACTATTTTGCTTCCTAAATTATTTTGTTTTAAATCCTTCGTCACCTTTACCATCGACAGGCTGCAGCCATGTCCGGAATTCCTTGCTTTCCATAGCCTAGCCTCCATAGACTAGCCCCACCCGCCAGCGGCCAAAATCATTTTTGCCTGCGAGTTTGGTCTAGCCTCAATCAATGCCCCGGGTCCTAGAACTGGCGGGCCAATCACAACACAGAGATGTGTTTTTAATTTTTGGATGCAAAGCGGGCGGGGTTTTGAGGGCGTGACGACAAAGCTGCGCGACCCTGGAGAAAGCACTACAATGAAGATGGCAACAACTATTGAACAGTAGCATGCACTGCGGCAGCAGCTTTAAATGCAGAGCTCCATTGAAAGTTAAAAGTTCTCTTTTCTGTTGCTGTTGTTCCATAAAAGCACGTTTTAATATAATTTGAGATAAGAATATTATACTTTAAAGCATCACTGCATGTATGGTCTATTTACTGATTTAATGCGTAATTTAAAAAAACATTTTCAAAGTTGAGAGGACCGCGGCAACCAATAGACCTCCGAGGTTAACGTCAGCCAGAGCTAACCGCAGCCCGTCTGCAGAGGCCCTCTCTCGGGATAGTTGTGTGTGAATGAAGGGCCGCTGGCTCTGATGCCGAGTTTTGACTCATATTTGGAATCAGTTTTGGAAGGATTAGACTTGGGGTTTTCGTTGAAAGAGGAAGAAAGAGGCTCTACGCTCATTCATTTTTAAGAAGGACGTATTCACAGTTTTACTGACAGGCTGTTGTTTACACTCCCCCACCAGCTTTCTGTCTACTACGTCACAGTCAGTTCCTCTCATTGGTCAGAGTGTTGGCCAATAGGCACAGACATGGTTTGAAAGACAACGGGTTGTTCTCATAAAAAATCTTCCGATGTCTCATTCATCGGGGCCTGACTAAATTACACATTTAATCTCACATTTAATCTGGTTAATTTGGCTACGTTTTCCAGCCGCTTTTGTTGAATTTAGCATTTTCCCATTTTCTAGCTTTTTCTACACCTCAAGCTTCTTTTCCAAACATACGGCTTTACGATCAACCACAATCATTTACGTGCAAATAAATTGAGAAATAATATATCTGACGACCTTTTTTTTGTAATTTTTTTGTTTGCTTTTTAAACAAAGCATTTTAAATGCCACAATAATCACATTGAATAAATCTCAATGCCAATTAAGGCCTTAATTAAAAATATATAATTTAATTACTTTTAATGACCCACAGAATCCCTGTGCTGCATTTTAGATCTGACCAACCAAACCCTGGATGAGAACAGTGATGGCTGCTGGTAGAAGGGGGGTTGTAAAGCTTCAAATGAGCTTATGGACAGGGACAAAGGGGTATCCCCTCAAGATATCAGGGATCAGCGTGGGAGCTTTAACTCCCTCCCTCTGCAAGTCACAGACAAGGGGGTCACATAGCTGATCATGGCTGTAATGTAATCCCCATGGAATAAACTAAGAAAACATGCAAACAAGACGATGAACCGCATTTTGTTTGGTCTGCTGGTCAGGGAAGGGCAAAATAAACATTCTAAGTGTGTCACAAAGAAATAAGCACTGAAAAAAAAGAAAATATTTGAGAAAATGTCCAACTGGTTTAGAATCTAACTGGACTTACTCTTAGGCAACAATGGCCGTTCATGTCATGTTTTGCTGTTTAAATGAAGAAATATAGAACTGTGGCTACAATCTTATATAACTATCCTCTAAATTATCTTTTATCATCCAAATAGAACAAAATAAATCAAATAATTTAACCAGACACAATAAAAAACGTTCACCTATGGTCAGAAATGACTAATATAACAAAGAGCAACTTAATGCAGTGTACCAGAGCTCAGGATCAAAGCAACCCCGTATCTGTCCCGTCCACAGCGCTCAAAGCAAGCTTATCTACTCAGCGCACGGGTGAGAGCACACGTCGTCACAGACAGGGGCTAAAAGGGGACAAATGAGGGTTAAGCTGCTTTCAATATTGACTCCATAAATATGGAAAAGGACTGAATCCAGGATATATTTACAGCTCTGATGAGTGGATGTGCACTGACACTAAAGGCAGGTTTAAGGTGACAGAAAATGTTGAAAACTAACTTAACAAAAAAGAAAAAAAAAAAGAACACCTTCCATTTTGTTCTGCTGCCATCTTTACAGACCTGCCCATGGCAAATGTAACCAGAGAGCTGAATGTACTTGAAACTTGATCTGGCTTTGCAACGAGGTAAAAAAAACAAAAAAAACAAGTAACCTGCAAGCCCATCGTCTCACACACACAGAGGACACGCTCCTTTAGATTTCCCTGCATGCTAGTCTTTTTAAACAGACACAAAAATACACATTTTACACACTAAACAATCCCTTCTTGCCATTCATGTTCTTCAGCAGAGCTAGCATTCGGTTCCACAGATTTTTGAGACAATTACAATCATGATCCAGTGCCAGAGTTGAGCTGAAAACCAGTGGTGTGGCGTGCAGGTGGCGCAGTGGTTAGCGCGCACAACCAATGTACAGAGGACATTCAACCCAGGTTCAAACCTGGCCTGTGGTCCTTTGCCGCATGTCTCTCCCCCTCTCTCATACCCCCTTTCCTGTCAGACTACTGTCAAAAAACAAACAAAAAGACAAGCCACTAGTGCCATAAAAAAGAAATCCCAGTTACATTACTTCATTTGTAATAGCGTGACTATACAACCAGTTTGATATAACATAATTTCATACAATATATATAATTAGAGGGTCCCCGCTCCATCTCACCATCAGTTTGGGGGTCCTTGGCCTGGAAAATGTTGAAAACCCCTGGTATAGAGGATAGAAGTATCTACTTGACCTGTTTACTCAAGTGAAAAAGTATGTGCTCCAAGCACTACTAAAAATATAAAAGTATAAAGTACGCAAAAAAAAAACAGCCAGATGCCACTATATGAATGAAATGAATGAATGAAATAAAGGCTCTTTTGAAAAATTCTTCAAGATAGGGCCACGGATGAGAGAGGTCTTGTTGGTCTCCGTCTCCCAATACGCTCTCGCTTGTCTCCGACCTTTCAGACATTTCAACATCTTTTTCTGAATCCAACATTGTAGCATGGCATAGACAATTCATGTTTGCAGTTTGAAGAACACCTGCTTGCTTCTGATGATTTCCTTTAGCTAACCAATGAGTCTTTGCGTTATATGACTCATCCAATGACACTAGTTTTCATTAGATGTGGATGGTGCCAATGATCTGCATTGGATGGCGCACATGACGTGAAATAAATATTTATAAACATTAAACTGAAGCCAAGAGTAACGAGCAACGTTTGTTTTAAAAATGTAAGGAATAGAAAGTACAGATACTTGTTTGAAAATGTAATGAGTAGAAGTCAGAAGTAGGAAGAAAAATAAGTAATGGAGTAAAGTATAGGTACCTAAGAAGTGTACTTAAGTACAGTAACAAAGTATTTGTACTTTGTTACTTGACACCTCTGCTGAAAACAACTATAGGAGTTTATAGGTGGATCTGAGACATCAGCAGATGATAACTGACTTACTTCGAAAATAAAGAGGATAGAGTCCAGCTCCTCCCTGTGAGATTTATTTCCTGGAACACAAAAGGAAGAATATGGAGTGGAAATGAATTTAATTAGGAAGTAAAAGCTCAAACTGAACAGACGAGGGGTGAAATCACTGGGGTTCAGTTGAAAGTGACTTACCTTTTTGTTTCAAGCTGCTTTCCAGTGTTATGAAATTTTCATAGAAGATAAAATAAATCTGCGAGCAGTTGCCTTCAAAGAATGCCTTCAGTTCACTCTTGTCCACAATATCTGTCATAAGAAACAAAAATAAAAAAATTAGAAAAGGGTGTGAAAAAATTAAGAGTTTATTAAAAAAGTTTAGCAAAAAAATATCTCAATAGTTCCTCCAAGATAACAGAAATACAAGATTTTATACTGAAAAATTAGGTTTGTTTTTTAACAATGTAAACAGTTCAATCTACTGTAAGAAATGTTTTGAGAAAAATAAATAAAAGAAACAAACATGGCGGTTTTTGACCTGCAGACCCAAAATCTTGCAGACATCAACTCAAGTTTTAAGCGCTTACAGTCGGTTTCCATTTTCCTTTGTATATAGATGAAGTCTATTCAGTCAAAATGTGTTTATATTTGTGAAATGGTGAATTTGTACAATAAACATTACCGAAATCCAAAGCAAGAATTACAAAGAAAATACATAACCCCCCGATTTAAAAAAAGAAGAATAATGAAAAAACAAAAGGTAAAAATGCAGTTACAGAGAGCAACTAATGATTTGCATCGCCTCCATTTTAAATCACCATATAAATAAGGAATAGGTGTGCACAGAAACAAAACGCCCAGGTTTAATCACTCTGAGAATCACCAAAACAAGAAGAGCAAACAAAGATGTCTGACTTTTCAAATTCAACTAGCTCCAAATCATCCGTACATTTAAATGAAAACCAGACATTTTTGAATCTTTGGTGGTAAGGAAGATACATCAAGAAGAGATTTTAAAGCTGGCAGTAGATTTAGCGAGTGATCAAACTGAGTAAAAAAAAAAAAAAAGGATTACTAAAAGACATCAGGACTTTTCACTAAAAGGCGTAGTTGCGCTTTTTTGTTTGCAGAGTCAACATTTAGAGCAAAGGAGGAGCAAGTGTCCAAGTCAGTGCTGAGGTATCTGAAGGACTGAACCGGCTCCACCAGATGGGCCTGTAAACAGAACGGTGTTAATGGTTCAACAAACAAGGAGATGTTTGGTTTCTGCTTCTTCAACTCAACTCCTTGATCTTATAGTTTATAAGTCATTAGCAACTGTCTTAAGGTGATCATTAGCGGACAGCAGTGTGTCCCAAAAAGGTGACAGGAGTGATGTTAGTAGTGAGGATGGACCGATTCATCGGCTGGCTCATATTTTCACTTTTTCTTGTATCACAATCACCAGATGTGCACATATGTTTAATAAGCAGCCATGCCCTTAGATCGAATGAAATGCATTTATGCTATTCCCTCCATTTGCTATGCGCTGTCAGTGTTTTGTTTTACAGGTAAAATGAGATTTTGTGTAAATTTTGTTTCAATGGTGTAAACAGGAAAAGAAAGCCACACTGCCCTAAAAAATCTGCCTGACATATCAGTGGATCGGCTAAACCGATGTCAGATTCAACAAGACCAAAGCCTTTAAAAGGTTTCCTTAATATATCCAAAAAACGTCTGTGGAGCCGGCAAAGTGATTACATCACAACCAATCTTCCTTAAAGAAGATTTTTTTACTGAATCAAACCAGTGAAACTAAAAACTTTTCCACTTGAGGAGTTCTGGATAGAGCATATTGACAGAAGAAAAAAAATTTCATCTTAAATGCAACATACTAATATATATTTTTTTTACAATTTTGATAAAATAACTGCTCTAAGTTATTACTTTAAAGTCTCTATACTTCAGTTAATGATTAATCGATTACTAAATTAGTTGACGCTTATTTATAAATCTTTTAATCCCATTAATAGTTTCAGCCCTAAAACCTAGACTTTAATCTGGCTTCTCAGCCGCCTTGCTAGAAGGAAACACCCACCCTTCCCAATTTTAAGTCAGTCATCATTTTCCTTTACTTGGCTCCCCCTGTCCTCCATCAACACTGATCTGGATCTGGAACCCCATGAATGTTGAGGAGAACCATCATGATACTGCCACCCTTTCAATTTTAGATGCAACCCTTAACCAACACCACTGAATCAAATAAATGGCTCATCGCCAGACCTCTTGAGAGCTGAATGACGTGCAGAAGAGGGAATTCCACCATTTATTTACAAGCCGGGAGCAAGGATGTATTTAAAAGCTGCAGGAAGTTTTCAGTGACTGAATTAGGAAGACACATAGAACGACACGTGGGCTATTAGCCACTTTGCAAATGGTTTCACTGGATTTTATTCAGGATCATACATTTAAAGTGGGCTGAATAAACCTGCAACATGCACCATTTTAAAAGTTTAATTCTAAAAACTATTTTGAAACCAAATTTTCTTTCTGTTCTGAATTATGGTTTGTTTTCTGATGGTTTATGAAGAAACAAATGTGTAAAGATTAGCAGCGTTTTAACATTTTTGGATGGCACCATATGCATGGATCGTAGGAGTGAAACATTAAACTACTTTTATTTAAAGGTTGAGTATAACTTAACTAACTTAAACAGGTAGGTGGCATGTTAAAATCATGATACGTCTTGAATACCCATCTGCAGCCTTTAAAGAGGTCTTTAATTATTAATATTTCTGTGTGATTGCTTTAGAAAACTGTTTTTTAGATCACAGTAACAAAAAACAAAAAAAGCCCTTGCTAAATCACAAGAAGCCGTTAGAAATAAATAACATATTTGTGGCTTAAAGAAGGTCAATCAATTGCTTTACTTGCAGAAGATGGAACAGGCATTTTTATTTATTTTTTTTTTTTTGCCTTTTTTTAATATTTAATATAGGCCAGAAGGAGTCCTGGCAAAATAACAGCAATTAAGGTTCACCTTCTGTTGCAATGTCTCCTGTGCCACATGGTTAACTGGAAATCTTCCAGAAGCTGTCCAGCTCCTGCGGAGTGCTGGAATGATGTACAATGTGAGAGAGACCCGGACCACTTATCTATGTTCAAAGATTAAAGGCGAAATAATGAGGACACGTGATGAGAAAGCAGAGTCGCAGACAAAATTGCAGTTAGAGTTCAGCCTTGATGTGAAAGGCCAATTTGCAGAGCTTCATTACGGAAATTACAACATCCAACTCTAGTAATAGGCATGAATATAGAACAAAATCACCACACTCCCACCAGTTTAAGGTATTATACCAGTAAATTGAGCAACTAAAGTTGTTATGCTCAGACTGACAGAGCTGAACGGATCCCTTTATGTCTCACAGCAGGTTAAGTATGCATCTAAATTTTAAACCAACCTACAATAATTTAAGTGACAAACAGGCAGTTTCTCCATGTAAGCAGGCAGCCTTGTGGGTTAATGTTCTGACACACAGATGCAGTTGGTGAGGGGCACCTTGAGTCACTGCTGGCAGCAAAACGTTTGGAGCTACATTATGATTAACTGAGGAAGAACTCAAGCTTTCAGTCAGGTAAATGAGTAAAAGCCAAAAACAAAAGAAAAAAAAGTATAGGAATCTATAATCTAACATTATTTAGCAGGTTTGCAGCCATTTCGGATAGATTTGACTCAATCCATGGACTGTCAGATTAGCTATTAAAATTATTCTTTAAAGGAAAAATTAGGGCACAAAATATAAAGACTGCTTAAATCCTCAATAAAAAGAAGCCAGATATATTTATGGCTATGCTGATTCTTGTATATTTCAAATTTTAAAGTCGTAGGGAAGTCATATTTTAATGTAAAATCATTCTGGCTCAAACATGTATATAAATGTGCTCTTTATCAGATGACATTGTCTCAAAAGTTAGAACATTTCTATAAAAAAAAATCCTGTCTTAAAATCTGTGTTGTTTTTCATTATTTTATGCAGGGCAGTTAGTTATACATCAGCTTGTACACCTAAATTCGGCCAATCATATATCAAAGGTCATCTGTCAATCAATTTTTTTTCGGTCATAGCATCTTGATTCATATTTTACACCTAATACACGCAACGACTGAAATAAGAAATAAGAATAAGTTCCTTTCCCATTGAATTACGATGCAGTGTTCTCGGGGATGGACGTCTGTGTCTTCAGCAGGCGTAGAGCTAACAAAACTGGCAGCTTTGGGAGGCAAGGGCTCAAACATGTACGGCTGTAAGCCTTCGACACCAAAACCAAGCTTCTGCCGCCCTGCGTCCTCTTCCACGACAACTTTGTCCCTGCTGTCCTCCTCTAAATAAAAAATCTATGATGGAGGAGACTCATCCACGACCTCCGACACAAAACTCTCCTCCTCTTGCATGTTTCCGCTGTCCATAGCTTTCCTTGACAGGGTCGTTTCTAAGTCACCAATTTGGTGCTACTTGGTCCGAATGTTATTTGGGTTTAAGTAGCACTAAGTTGCTAACTGGTTAGCAAGATGCTGCCGACAAAGCGGCCACAATCAAACTTGCTTGTCCGCCACAATAATCCCGCCCCCTTTATAATCGACGAATCAAATTCACTTTATTCACTCGTGTAAAGTCGGGCACCACTCTGGAGAATTCAGAAATGCAACGGTTGGAACAGCTGTTTCCCTATGACTTTAAGATTATGTACTATAGGGTAAAGAAGTGACTGGTACAACAATAATAAAATTATTGTAATAATCTAATAAAAGTGTCTGTATCATAACCAAAATAATAAACCCAAATGCTTCCTGTCTTTATACATAGAAATAGCTTACATGTAAGTCTAACACCTGTCTCTCTTCTAGCACACAAGGATCGATGAATATGCAAAGTAGAAGAGCTTGGACCGATCCCATTTCCTCCTTAATGCTGCCTCTGGACAGTAACAACAAGCAACACTTGTTGACCAACTTTCCAACTTTTAAAACTTCAACCCTTTTAATGACTTGTCTTCATCTCATGCACAAAAATAAATGAAGAAATGCAAAAGCTCAGTTCTTGACTTGAGAGGGTTTCTTCTACTGTGTGTATATAAAACATCTTCTTAGTGCAAAACTCTTAAGAGGTGTGTTAGTAGTTACTGTGGGGATACAATTAAAATCTGAATTTATACCCAGAAAAATCTAACAAGGGTGTAATCTCCAGAATTTATTGTAGCCTATTGTCTACAAAGTCCCACAACATAGACTATGTTAGGAAAAAGTGGGAGAGAGAGGGTAATCTGATAAT